GTTTGAAACTGCACCCAGCCCAACAGTCCCATTCTCCCTTATCCTGCTCTCCTTCTGCTTTCGTGTCCCCAGTCACACTCTTTATTTACTGTTTAGTTGCTAAGTTGTGTCCAACTCTTTGCAACCCCATGGACTGTAGCCTGCCAGGCTCCTCTGTCCATGGGATTTCCCAGGCGAGAATACTGGAGTGGGTTGCCATTTCCTTCTCCAGGGGATCTTCCTGACCCAGGGATCAAACCTGTCTTCCACTTTGGCAGGCAGATTCTTTACCACTGAGCCACCTGGGAAGCCTGACCACACTCTAGAACATTCCACAGTGCACTTGCATTTGCTTCAGGCTGCTTCCCCATGCAACTTGAGCTCCATGAGGGCAGAAATCTCTCCCAGTCTTGATTCCTGCAGTATCCCCAGCTTTTACCCCGTTATCCAGCATATAATAGGTCCTCATGAAATGTTGGTTGAATGAATTAGTGAGCGAGGGACTTGTAGAGATTTAAGAGCACCTTGGTGATGGGTCTGTTGAGGACCTGAGGGGGAGTCTCTGGAAGGCCACCCAGATCTCCTGAGACTCTGTTTTGAGAGGCTGAGTGGGAGTGGACCCCACGTCAGAAACTGGGGGCCAGGGATGGGGGCAGGTTTGGGGGATCCAACACTTAAGTTTTGCCCTTGAGACAGAGATGGAAATGCCTGCAGGTGGCAGGTCAGGAGCTCCACAGGGGGTGCCCGAGGGAGACTTAGGAGATGCCCGTGGAAACCCAGGGAAGTGGGGCTCCCATGGCAGAGCAGGGAGGCAAGGAGCGGACCCAGGAACCCCAACATTTAGGGGACATGGAATCAGGCCAGGGTGAGTGCTACAGTGCGTCCACTGAGTGAGCCAGGCTCTCTCAGGTCGGGTTGTCTGGAGGGAGGGAGGGAGGCGCAGAGGTCAGGCTGATAAGAGACTAGCAGGTCCTTGATGTACCCACACAGAGGCGGAGGTGACCTTAGTGGGGGGGGGAGGGTGCCAGCCAAGGAGTGCATGTGAGGGTTGAGCAGGGGCACAGCAGCGCAGGACAAATATTTATTGAACACTAGCTGTGTGCCCAGTGCTGAGATGAGGTGGCGAATAAGCCTGGCTCAGTCCCCATGGACCTCAGCTTTCCAAGGTGGGGGAGAGGAGGGAGTTAAATGGTTGGGGGCCCAGGGATAGGCAGGTTGCAGTTTTAAATAGAATGGTAGGGACTTCCCTGGTGGTGCAGTAGTTAAGTCTCTGTGCTTCCTCTGTAGGGGTGTGGGTTCAATCCCTGGTCGGGGAACTAAGATATGAGGTGCTGCCAAAAAAGAAAGTCACAGTGTGTTGAATGTATGTGTGAATGGCCACTTAGGATTAGTAAGCCAAATTCCTACAGAACTGGACACCTAGCCATCCTTTAAAAAAAAAAATGATGTTTTAAATAGCATGGTCAGGGAAAGCTCACTGAGGAGGTGACATTTACACTGAAGTTGCTGAGGGGATAGGATCTCTCCTTTCAGCCCTGACCTGAATGTCCCATGTCCTCAGAAACCCTTCAGTCCTGGGCAAACTGGGGAGAGTTGGTCACCCTAGGAGCAAGTCACATGCTATGTCAGGAAAAACATTCCAGGCAGAGAGAATAGCAAGTGCAGGGGTCCTGAGGTTGGAACACTTGGGGGAGTATCTGAAGATAACAGCACTGAGGATGGGGCAGAGGCTGTTTTGTGAGGGAGTCAAGGTCTGCAAGAGCTGGTGGGGTGATCCAGAGAGGGAACTAGTTTAGCTTCCCATTCTGAGTATCCTCTGGGGGGAGCCACCTTGTACCCATTAATCAATCTTTTGTGATAGGAACGGGCCTTGCCCAAGGCAAGCGAAGGGAGGGATAGAATTGGAATTTCCTCAAGGTCCTGCATGACTGAAGAGCAGAGAGACAGGCTGGCAGCTTACTCCGCTTTCTGTCTCCCCAGCTCGCCCTCCCTCACCTGCGCAAGAGCCAGGGAAATGTCATCAACATCTCCAGCCTGGTCGGGGCGATAGGCCAATCCCAGGCGGTTCCCTACGTGGCCACCAAGGTACACCGCTGAGAGACCCGCCCCTTCCTGCAGGCGCCGCAGGCCTGACGTATGGCCTGAGGCATGGCCACCTGGCCTTCCAGGAAACAGAGCCTGGTGCAGCCAGATGAGACCTGCAGGGAGAGCGTGACTTCCCTCTTCCGATGCCCCTGCTTGCCGCCCCCTGGTTGGGTGCACACAGGCTAGGTCGCACGCTAGGTCGCTCAGTCGTGTCTGACTCTTTGGGACCCTGTGGACAATAGCCCACCAGGCTCCTCTGTCCATGGGATTCTCCAGGCAAGAATACTGCAGTGGGTTGCCAGGCCCCTCCTCCAGGGGATTTTCCCGACCCAGGGATCGAATCCGTGTCTCTTGCGACCCCTGCACTGGCAGGCAGGTTGTTTACTACTAGTGCCCGCCGGGAAGATGATAGCCCGTGAATACTAAGATCGTTACGAGGAACAGACCACTCTGGCTCTTGTATGAGGAGGAAATCAGAGGGCAGAGTGGGGTGGGAACTGACATCAGGAGGCGGCTGCATTCGCGCACGAGAGAAGAGGTGGCTCTCAAGGCCTCACGCAGTCTGACCCGTCACTCCTCTGGTCTCACCTCCCTCCACAGTGGCCCCGTTGCTGCCAAACGCCCCACCTGGCCTTGCCTCAAGGCCTTTGCACTCTGTGTTCCTGCTGCCTGGCATAGTTTTCTCTAAGAGGTGCCCACAGCTCACAGCTGGACTCAAAATGCTCAGTCCGGGATTTCCCTGGCCATTCAGTGATTAGAACTCTGTGCTTCCACTGCAGGGGTCACAGGTTCAATCCCCGAGTCAGGAAGATGCCCTGGAGAAGGAAATGGCAACCCACTCCAGTATTCTTGCCTGGAGAATCCCATGGACAGAGGCGACTGGAGGCTTACAGTCCATGGGGTCTCAAAGAGTTGGACACGACTGAAATGACTGAACATACACGCACTTTCCCAAAGCCCACCCTCGGGCACCCTGTTTGAAACTGCACCCAGCCCAACAGTCCCATTCTCCCTTATCCTGCTCTCCTTCTGCTTTCGTGTCCCCAGTCACACTCTTTATTTACTGTTTAGTTGCTAAGTTGTGTCCAACTCTTTGCAACCCCATGGACTGTAGCCTGCCAGGCTCCTCTGTCCATGGGATTTCCCAGGCGAGAATACTGGAGTGGGTTGCCATTTCCTTCTCCAGGGGATCTTCCTGACCCAGGGATCAAACCTGTCTTCCACTTTGGCAGGCAGATTCTTTACCACTGAGCCACCTGGGAAGCCTGACCACACTCTAGAACATTCCACAGTGCACTTGCATTTGCTTCAGGCTGCTTCCCCATGCAACTTGAGCTCCATGAGGGCAGAAATCTCTCCCAGTCTTGATTCCTGCAGTATCCCCAGCTTTTACCCCGTTATCCAGCATATAATAGGTCCTCATGAAATGTTGGTTGAATGAATTAGTGAGCGAGGGACTTGTAGAGATTTAAGAGCACCTTGGTGATGGGTCTGTTGAGGACCTGAGGGGGAGTCTCTGGAAGGCCACCCAGATCTCCTGAGACTCTGTTTTGAGAGGCTGAGTGGGAGTGGACCCCACGTCAGAAACTGGGGGCCAGGGATGGGGGCAGGTTTGGGGGATCCAACACTTAAGTTTTGCCCTTGAGACAGAGATGGAAATGCCTGCAGGTGGCAGGTCAGGAGCTCCACAGGGGGTGCCCGAGGGAGACTTAGGAGATGCCCGTGGAAACCCAGGGAAGTGGGGCTCCCATGGCAGAGCAGGGAGGCAAGGAGCGGACCCAGGAACCCCAACATTTAGGGGACATGGAATCAGGCCAGGGTGAGTGCTACAGTGCGTCCACTGAGTGAGCCAGGCTCTCTCAGGTCGGGTTGTCTGGAGGGAGGGAGGGAGGCGCAGAGGTCAGGCTGATAAGAGACTAGCAGGTCCTTGATGTACCCACACAGAGGCGGAGGTGACCTTAGTGGGGGGGGGAGGGTGCCAGCCAAGGAGTGCATGTGAGGGTTGAGCAGGGGCACAGCAGCGCGGGACAAATATTTATTGAACACTAGCTGTGTGCCCAGTGCTGAGATGAGGTGGCGAATAAGCCTGGCTCAGTCCCCATGGACCTCAGCTTTCCAAGGTGGGGGAGAGGAGGGAGTTAAATGGTTGGGGGCCCAGGGATAGGCAGGTTGCAGTTTTAAATAGAATGGTAGGGACTTCCCTGGTGGTGCAGTAGTTAAGTCTCTGTGCTTCCTCTGTAGGGGTGTGGGTTCAATCCCTGGTCGGGGAACTAAGATATGAGGTGCTGCCAAAAAAGAAAGTCACAGTGTGTTGAATGTATGTGTGAATGGCCACTTAGGATTAGTAAGCCAAATTCCTACAGAACTGGACACCTAGCCATCCTTTAAAAAAAAAAAAATGATGTTTTAAATAGCATGGTCAGGGAAAGCTCACTGAGGAGGTGACATTTACACTGAAGTTGCTGAGGGGATAGGATCTCTCCTTTCAGCCCTGACCTGAATGTCCCATGTCCTCAGAAACCCTTCAGTCCTGGGCAAACTGGGGAGAGTTGGTCACCCTAGGAGCAAGTCACATGCTATGTCAGGAAAAACATTCCAGGCAGAGAGAATAGCAAGTGCAGGGGTCCTGAGGTTGGAACACTTGGGGGAGTATCTGAAGACAACAGCACTGAGGATGGGGCAGAGGCTGTTTTGTGAGGGAGTCGAGGTCTGCAAGAGCTGGTGGGGTGATCCAGAGAGGGAACTAGTTTAGCTTCCCATTCTGAGTATCCTCTGGGGGGAGCCACCTTGTACCCATTAATCAATCTTTTGTGATAGGAACGGGCCTTGCCCAAGGCAAGCGAAGGGAGGGATAGAATTGGAATTTCCTCAAGGTCCTGCATGACTGAAGAGCAGAGAGACAGGCTGGCAGCTTACTCCGCTTTCTGTCTCCCCAGCTCGCCCTCCCTCACCTGCGCAAGAGCCAGGGAAATGTCATCAACATCTCCAGCCTGGTCGGGGCGATAGGCCAATCCCAGGCGGTTCCCTACGTGGCCACCAAGGTACACCGCTGAGAGACCCGCCCCTTCCTGCAGGCGCCGCAGGCCTGACGTATGGCCTGAGGCATGGCCACCTGGCCTTCCAGGAAACAGAGCCTGGTGCAGCCAGATGAGACCTGCAGGGAGAGCGTGACTTCCCTCTTCCGATGCCCCTGCTTGCCGCCCCCTGGTTGGGTGCACACAGGCTAGGTCGCACGCTAGGTCGCTCAGTCGTGTCTGACTCTTTGGGACCCTGTGGACAATAGCCCACCAGGCTCCTCTGTCCATGGGATTCTCCAGGCAAGAATACTGCAGTGGGTTGCCATGCCCTCCTTCAGGGGTGGGAGGAGACGGCAGAAGGAACCTCATCTCCTCCGGTCTGAACTTTTCTCTGTGCCCCGTCTTCTGCAGGGGGCAGTGACAGCCTTGACCAAAGCCTTGGCCCTGGATGAGAGTCAATATGGCGTCCGTGTCAACTGGTGAGCAGCTCCACGTGGGTGGAGAGCCTCTTGGGGGAGTGAGCCCAAGGGGCAGTGTGTGCATTGGACTGCCCTGACCCCCTGTCCTTCCCCACCCCAGCATCTCCCCTGGAAACATCTGGACCCCTCTGTGGGAAGAGCTAGCGGCCTCAACACCTGACCCCACTGCTACAATCCGAGAGGGCACACTGGCCCAGGTAGGAGTGGGGGCCGGGTCGAGGCGGTGTGGGGGTGGTCAGGCGGGGCTCCTCCTGATCCTTCTTCCCTCCTTGTCTCTCCCCAGCCCCTGGGCCGCATGGGCCAGCCAGCTGAGGTGGCGGCTGCTGCTGTCTTCTTGGCCTCCGAAGCCAGCTTCTGCACGGGGACTGAGCTGCTCGTGACTGGGGGTGCGGAGCTGGGGTATGGGCGCAAGGCAGGCCAGGCCGCCCCGACAGAGGCCCCCACCACCCCTTCCTGATCCCCCACATTTCCACCTGGGCCTCCCTGACAAGGGTTCTCCCACCCCAAACTCAGTCTCCCAAATTCCAGTTTCCACCCTCTGCCTCTCAGGTGCAACACTCCACCCACCCCAGCCCCAACTGCAGACATTCAGCCCACTCACCAATGTGCCAAACCACCCCCACAGTTTCCCATAAAAGCACTTTGCAACCAGGAGGAGGAGGGCATCACTGCATTTATTTCTGGCCCTTTATGAGTCCTACCATGCCAGGACCCAGTCGCCCGACCCCGCCCCACCCAGCTCCCACGCATTCTCACGCGTGGCATCTCCCTGCAGGAGACTGCAGCCCAGGGCTCCTGAGAAAAGTATTGCAGGTTGGCTTCACCGGCGAGCTAATTAAAAAGGCCCGCAAAGGAGAGTCAGTTAAGCTCTCATTAGGAGATAATGGAGGGAGTTAAGCAAACAGGCCTCCACCTTATTCTTGGCCCTTAGGGAAAAGGAGCTTTGACCTCGTTTGCAGCTGAGTAGGAGGCTGGCCAGCACCAAAAATAATGAGGGAAGAGAAAGCTAGGGGGTTGACACTGCCAGGTCAGAGGGAGAAAGGGCTGGGATCTGGACTCCAGGGTTTCAGGAGGAGGAAACTAGGGTGTGTGGACTCCCCGGCTGGGAGGGAGCGGAGTCTGGCCTCCCCCTCAGATGGGCGAGGGGCCCTATCCGGGGTAAGTCCCCGGTGCGGAGGTGGGGCTGCATCGCTGCAGCGGAATTGGCCGAGGCGGGGCTGTGTGCGGCAATCGCTGATTGGCCGCGGCAGAGGTGGGGAGCCGCCTGGACACCGCACCCTTGCGGCTCCAGCCTAGGTGGTAGGGGAGGAAGACTGGGCAGGTGGAAAGGAAAACTAGGAGACACCCTGCCGGAAAGGACTCAGAATTTGACTGCCCGGGCCTGTGGCTTTTCGTGCTGGGGAACCAGAATTTGGGAGCAAAATGTCTCAGGGTAGAGTGACCTAAAGAGCAGAGTTTGAGGATACAACAGGAACAATAGTTTGGTGTCACAGTAACCTGGATGCAGGCGATGGGGTAACTTCGACAACGGAAGATTGGGTGGGGGGAGGGGGGGAGCTGGTGCGCACGGTGACCTCGGGGCACGATATAGGGAACACTGAAACAGGTTTGAATTGCTAGTGAGTGGCTCAGTGGGTAAATAAGAAACGGGTTCAATCCCTGCTGAGTCGGGAAGGAGGAGGGCATGGCAACCCACTCCAGTATTCCTGCCAGGAAAATCCCAGGGACAAGAGTCGGACACAACGGAAGCAACTGAGCGTGCACGCGCTCAGCAGGGACTGTAATCGACTGTCTGCCTCTGGGGGGTCATGAAATCGGGGAGACAGTCTTGAAGGGGCGTAACCAGGGAATCCTGCCTAGAGGCTGCTCACTGGAGCTCATTGATGAACTGGGGAACTGAACATTTCCAGGCGTCCCTGATGAAAAGGGCTGGAAGGAGGCATGGTGAACCCTGGGTGTTTCTCTCTTTAAAAAGTTACAAAGAGTACACGTCTATCTTCTCGTTGGAAAGGAAACCTATATTCAAACTGGTAAGTATCCGGTCAGAGTGAGCTTCCCCTTTATCCCTATCTGCTACCCTCTTCAGAGTCCTTTCCCTTCAAAAGTGTATTTTTACATAACATCTGCGCCCGCCGATCTTAACTGCGTGGTTTTTCTTTTCACCAAGAATCGCGATATGTGAAGATTTCTGCTCCCCACTCCTCCCTTCTTTTCCCTTTAGCTCTCCACCACGGTACTGTACCTATTAAAATGCATTTCTGAAAACCGCTGAATGCACACTCTAGCGTCCGGGCTGGAAGGAGAGTGTGTTTCAAGTTACTCCCTTCTCGCGGGGTCTAGCGCATGCGCTCTACGGTAGGGCCCTGCTCCCCCCGGGCGCCCTGCAACTGCGAAGGCCAGGCCCGCCTGGGGTGCTAGGCTGACAAACCATCCCACAGAAGGAGGCGTGAGCGGGGCGGGGCCGGAACGTCTTTATCCGGGGCCGCGCCCTGGGCAGGCACAAATACCAGCCGCAAAGACCATGGCTGCAGCGGCATTGAGGCAGGTGGGTTCGCGGCCGGGGTCTGGGGAGCTCTTAGGGGAGGCGCACTTCCGGGTGGACCACTCGCCGGTGGCCCATCCGGTGGGGCGCCGGTCCTCCCGCATTCAGGTTCCGCTGCAGGGAGCCAAGGAGGAGGGGGCCCCTTAGAAAGGAGAACGAGGCCTTAATGGGGATGAAAGGAGAGAAGTAATCGGTGGGAAGGGGGACCCAGGTGGGACTTCTAGGGATGGATATATGGAAGAGAAGACGGCAATGGGAGAAGCTTGGGCCTGGGGCGACAGGATGGATTAGGAGGGAGGAATCGGCCTTTGGGGGCGACAGGAGAAGATTCTCAGAACCTCTAGGGGTGGGAGCAGGATGAAGGCAGAGTTCAGTTTCAGGTCTGGACTGGGACTAGGACCCAAGGCCCTATTTTCTTGGCACTAAAGATAGAGGTAGAATGTTGTGTCCCGGAAACCCCTTATCTGAAACTGCGCCAGGGTTGAAAACAGAGTTAGTACCTCATTGTCATAAACAGAGATTCTCCTGCCAAGAGTGGGACCCTCCATTCTTATTGATACATGTCAACAGGCAGACCTTCAGAGAGCCTGTGATTTGAGAGAACAAGGTTTCTCACTGAGGAAGGAAACAGTAACAACTCTAAGAAGGGAGTCTTTATAACCCTTGACAGCTGCAGCTTAAAGTTGGGAAAAATGGTTCCTGTTAACTTTGTACCTGACTTTATATGGGACTCTTAGCTTGATGGATAGCAGGACAGATGTTTCCTTTCTGAGTTGAGACGGAGACCAGCCTGGGCTGTGTCTGGGACAATCTTGGCTTTATGATGACACTCCTGTGCCGTGGTGGTAGGACAGCCTTGGGCTGTGAGTGCTGGGGTCAGTGGAGATTCCATCATATTATAGAGCCCTGCCCTGTGCATACCCCACCCCAACTCCAACCATTTCTCATTTCCTAATTCAGACCCAGTCCTTTTTACACCTCTATGTTCCTAAAGCCCAGCGATCATCTGAGATCTTGGGGCCCAGTCCCCCAATTGTTTGGGGTATCAGGTGGTGGGCACCTTCCCTGAGGGGAGGTGAGAACCCTGCCCCCAGAAAAATATCCTGGGAGGATGAAGGCAGCTTCTCCCAGCGTGACAGTGTCTCTGTGGCCAGTACAGATTTACAATCTCCTGGAAACAGTGCCTGGCGCCTTTTCTCTGCCTGTGGGTGGGTTTTCCTGCTCCTCCTCTCTGTCTCTCCTGGATATCTCTGTCTCCAAACATCGCTGAGACTGCTTCTCTCCAGGGATTGGCATCGCTCTGTCTCTGCAAGTCTCTCCTCATTTCCCTAGGTCTCCCTTTCACTTTGTGCTGTCCCCCAAAGTTGGGTCTTGATCTATTTCTCTCCTTTTTCCTGTTCTCTCTCTTATGGCTTCAGTTTATCTTGCCTTCAGTATTTCTTTTTTTTTTTTTCTTCTTGATTTCTCCAGGCTTTACCATGCCTGAATTTCCCTCCCTCGCGTGTCTTGTCTCAGTCTCTCTCTCTATATGGTGGTGGTGGTGGTTTAGTCACCAAGCTGTGTCCAACTCCTGCAACCCCATGGACTGTAGCCTGCCAGGCTTCTCTGTCCATGGGATGTCCCAGGCCAGAATACTGGAGTGGGTTGCCATTTCCCCCTCCAGGGGATTCTCCCTTCTCTCTGTATGAAAGTGAAAGTGTTAGCTGCTCAGTCACGTCCCACTCTTCTTAACCCCCAGGCTGTAGCCCTCCAGGCGCCTCCATCCATGGGATTCTCCAGGCAAGAATACTGGAGTGGGTTGCCATTCCCTTCTCCAGGGGATCCTCTCGATTCAGGGATTAAACCCAAGTCTCCTGTACTGACAGGCAGATTCTTTGTCGCTGAGCCCCTCTATGATCATATCTAATTTGACTTCCCTTGGCCTTGGATCCCTGTTCCTTAATGTCCGTGTCTTTTACTTCCTTGTCTCTTATTTTTTCTTATTCTTCCTCTTCTCTACTTTTTTCCTTTCTGCCTCCCTCTGAGGGCTGCTTTCTTGTCCACCTGCTGCCTGCCTCTGCCCTGCTGGTGGGTGTTATCTCCACACCACGGGTGTCTTGTCCGCCTCCTGGCCAGTAACCCGCCCCTGGCTTGGGCAGGCCACAGAGCGCCGCCTAGAGGCCATGCTCAGGACCCACACTCTGATCATCCCAGAAGCTGTCTGGCCCTCATAACATCCAGGACCACTCCTCAGACTTCATGGCCTAGACTTTCAGTTCATTTCAGTCACTCAGTCGTGTCCGACTCTTTGAAACCCCACAAATCGCAGCACACCAGGCCTCCCTGTCCATCACCAACTCCCAGAGATTACTCAAACTCATGTCCATCAAGTCGGTGATGCCATCCAACCATCTCATCCTCTGTGGTCCCCTTCTCCTCCTGACCCCAGCCCCTCCCAGCCTCAGGGTCTTTTGCAATGAGTCAACTCTTCCCATCAGGCGGCCAAAGTATTGAAGTTTCAGCTTCAACATCAGTCCTTCCAATGAACACCCAGGACTCATCTCCTTTAGGATGGACTGCTTGGATCTCCTTGCAGTCCAAGGGACTCTCAAGAGTCTTCTCCAACACCACAGTTCAAAAGCATCAATTCTTCGGCGCTCACCTTTCTTCACAGTCCAACTCTCACATCCATACGTGACCACTGAAAAAACCATAGCCTTGACTAGACGGACCTTTGTTGGCAAAGTAATGTCTCTGCTTTTTAATATGCTATCTAGGTGGGTCATAACTTTCCTTCCCAGGAGTAAGAGTCTTTTAATTTCATGGCTGCAATCACCATCTGCAGTGATTTTGGAGCCCCCCAAAATAGTCAGCCACTATTTGCACTGTTTCCCCATCTATTTCCCATGAAGTGATGGGACCAGATGCCATGATCTTAGTTTTCTGAATGTTGAGCTTTAAGCCAACTTTTTCACTCTCTTGTTTCACTTTCATCAAGAGGCTTTTTAGTTCCTCTTCACTCTGCCATAAAGGCGGTGTCATCTGCATATCTGACTAGGACACTCCAAACCCACAGCCCCTGTCTCCCCATGACTCACCTACTGACCAGTGACTTCGGCCATTCACAGCTGTTCTCAGTCCCCTCAGCTCACAGGGCAGGAGAAGGCTAGGTTGTTCCGTCTCCGCCAAACCTCATCACAGCTGCCTTCCCACCAGGCTGAGGAAAGAGGTATCGTGAGGTCAGAGACTGTGGGGGAGAAGCCATCCTGCTAGATCCAGACAGACCTTCTCTCCGCCTCTGGCCTCGGGCCGGACCACAGGGGAAGTGTTCATCCAAGCAGTGTCTCTTGATGACTGGAGTGGTCCCCAAGTGTATGTGGCTGCCCCTCAGTTCCCTACAGCCCTGGGAACCATAGGGAATTGGAATTGCTGGTGTCCAAGGTGTGGGACTGGGGCCTCAAGTAAGCTAAGCCCAGTTGATCTAATGCTCCCAAAGAGAAGGACTTGCAATTCTGGGTCTGAGGGTGGAGGGGGCTGGAGGTCTGGAACCTGAGGTGGGGGCCTGGAATCCGGGGTCTGTGATAGGAAGGGCTGGGGCCCTGGTTCCTGGGTCCTGGGGGAGTATGACCTATGGGCCCTCCACTTCTCTAACTCTTTTCAGGATCTGAGTTCCCCAGGGAGGCCTTCACTTACCTACACACCTTCTCTTGTCGTCCTCTGTCTGATCTGGGCTCAGGCAGGGCTGGGGCCAAAGTTCCCTGGGGTAGGAGGCACCTGTATTTGACTTTGCCCCAGCTTGGAGGAAGGGATGGGAGCTGATTCAGCTCTTTATTGAGACGGCCCTTGTGGGGGCAGGGAGCAGACTTGGCCTCCTTGGGGATCTCCTGCTCCACGCTGATCAGGACAGGGGAAGGGACCTGGCCAGGGCCGCGTGCTCTGTCTGGAAGCACTGGGCCTGGGACAGAGCATGCCCGAGGAACATCCTGAGTGCAGGCTGTGGAAAAGATGGGTGCCAGGACCCCCTGCTCTCTCTGTCTCCTGGTCTCATCACCTTTCTTACTTCTGTCCCCACCCCCAGATTTGGACCCCCAGATTTCTCCCTGTACCTTGGTTTCTGTGTGGTCCCAGAAGATATGCCTCATCCAGCTTCAAGGTGACAGTGGGGATTAGGGTTTGGATCTCAAGGAAGAGGGGCTGGGGGTCTGGACCAGTGGGTCTGAGGGAGGCAAGGGCTGGGAGTTAGCTTTGGGCCTCTCCAAAAGATCCAGGGTCGGAAGGTGAAGGTGGGTGGCAATGGGTTAGCCTAATTGCTTGCCATCAGGCCATGGGAAAGAGATGAAACTGCATGTCCCAGAAGCCTCTGGGACGACAGATCCCTCTTCTCTCTGGTTCTCAGCCCCAGGGATTCCTGGGAGTTGTAGTTTTTCAGATTGGAAGCTGTGGTCAGACTCTAGGACACCCGTCTTTTCTCAGGCTGCTGACCTGCAGCTAGAAATGACACAGGAGCCTCATAAGAAGCCTGACCCCAGCCAGCCCCTGCTGTTCGGGAATACATTCACCGACCACATGCTGATGGTGGAATGGAACCAGGAGAAGGGCTGGGGCCAGCCCCGAATCCAGCCCTTCCAGAACCTCACGCTGCACCCAGCCTGCTCCGCTCTGCACTACTCCCTGCAGGTGGCAGGGCGACTGCCCTCCCTCCCCCGTCTCTCCCTGCATCTCTTCCATCTTGCCGGGTCTCTTGCTGGGTCTACCTCCCTGGGTTTGCTTTTTGTGTGTTTCTCATTTCCACGCACTCCTCATCCATTTTTCTAAGGCTTGTCATGTTCCAGGTCCCATGTTGGGTGATGCTGGGTCCCTCGAGATGAGCAGACCCAGTTCCTTCATTTGAAAACCCCCACCCTTTGGTGACTACCCAGGGGGATCTGGACTCTGATGGAGGCAGCTGAGGTATTGTGGGAGGCCAGAAGAGGAACGCCCACCCTACCTCGGATTCGACTGAAAGTGGGGTATTTCCTGGCAAAGAGGGGAGCCAAGACTCTTAGAGGGAGAGACGACATCAGTATAAAGACACAGTCCAAAGAAGAGCCTGGTATATTGGGGAGGGACGCATGGGGTTGGAGGCTACGGGGAGGCTGAGAATGTCATCAGAACCCCAGAGGAGCTGGGGCCTTGTCAAGGGCACTGGGAACCCCGGGGGACTCTGAGCAGGCATGGAGCAGGTAGAGTAAGACCCCTCTCAGGCCATGTGAAGGATAAGCTGAGATCAGAGCCGGGGGGATCACCAGGAGGGGATGGGGCAGAGAGATTCAGGGATACCAGGGATTGACCGGCTGGGCTAGAGAAGGGCAGGGAGGGCTGAGGACCATGCCTGGGGGTTTGTATAGTCAGGTGACCATGTAGACCACGAGACCATGCTGACATGGGGACATAGGATGAGGAGGATTGGCTTTGTGAGACTTGGTGAGGGCCCACGAGGAGAATGACCCAGAAGGCATTTGACCCAGTCTCCAGCTTCAAGCTATGGCTGGAAAGTAAAGTCTTTTCCAAAGAAGCTTTACTTGTTGCAAACTTTTGGAGGGACACACTGCAGTTCTAGTAGCTGGTTGGCAGTTTGAGTAATTTTTGTCCCTTACGGAGTCATTCTCCAACGTTAGGCATGGTCTCCCCTGCCTTTTTTTTCTCTTTCTTTTCTTTTCAGAATTTTGATGGTTTTTCTTCCCACCTACTCTGGACATTTGATTCAAATGGATCAGTTCTGTGCAAAGGAGACCCAGCGTGGGAAACAGATACAAAGGACGGATGGTCAGGACGTGTCTACAGAGTTCCCCCCCACCCCCCACCCGCCAGGAAGGTGGCTTTTGGAGATCACCATTTATTTGGCTCTCCTATCAGCCCAGCATGATAAGATGTCCTCCAACAGTACTTTTGAAGGACAAAAGTACTTTTGGGGACCCAATACTTTTTCTTTAGCAGAATGAGTGCAGATGAAGGGGTTGAGCATCCAAAAAACATGTCTTTCATGATATCTCTTACATAGGGCTTCCCAGGTGGCAGAGTGGTAAAGAATCCGCCTGCCAATGCAGGAGACGCAAGAGATGTGGGTTTGACCCCTGGGTTGGGAAGATCCCCTGGAGGAGGAAATGGCAACCCACCCCAGTATTCTTGCCTGGAGAATCCCCATGGACAGAGGAGGCTGGTGGGCTACAGTCCGTAGGGTCACAGAGTCGGACACGACCAAGTGACGAGCACTTTCATTTTTCCTTCTTTTAATGGAGCCTAGAGATTCTTGAGCCGCCCTTGAAGACCTTTGTCCTTTTCTGCTGCTGTGTAGTATTCCATGTTGGACACTTAGGTTGTTTCAGTCTTGTGCTATTATAAACAGCACTGCAGTAAACTAGCAAACACTTCACTTCCTTTAAAAGCAAATATATCTCTCCTTTCAATTTCTGGAACTATTGGCTCAAAGGGTGTATGTGCTTGTAACTGTTGAAAGATGTTGAGTCATCAATATCTTCTGTGACAGATGTTCTGATAGAAGTTGTGTTAGTTTCCACACTTACCAGTCAGGCCTGTTTTCCCCTTACCCTGGATGACCCTTGTTAAACTTTTAGATGTTGTGTAACCTCCTAAGTGTTTTTGAAGGTACTTCAAAATAATTTTAATTTGCCTTTTCTCCCCTGATTATGAATGGAATTGACCATCTTTTCACAACGTAAGAGCCATTTTTAGTTCCTTCCTGTGAACTGTCCATTTTCTTGGCTGATTTTTCTATTAGACTGGGTTTCTGTATTTATTTGGAGGAGTAACTTATGTATTAAAGATAAGTCATTTGTGATGTGAGTTGAAAGTTTTTACCCAGTTTATTTTTATGCAGTCTTTTCTTTTTGGTTTCTGTGATTTGTCATGTTTAGAACACCAGCCCCAATTCAAAATATAAAATGGTCCTCTTGTGTTTCCTCTATTGCTTATAGAAGAAATTTCATTTAAACCTGAAAATTTTCCTGATGTGAGGTATGAAGTAGGGATCAAAGTTAGTTTTTTTTCCCCCCAGAAATGGATATTTGGTTGTTCAGCACCATTTAAATGAATTGATCATGTTTTTACAATTTTTACTGAAATACATTTGGGTTACAATATTGTGGTGGTTTCAGGTGTACACAAAATGATTCAGTTATACAATAATCCACTTTCTAGTCTCTTGCATTGTTCGATCTGTCAGTTCATTTGTCAATGTCACTTTAAGTGTTGTAGATTTATAATCTGTTTTCATATCTGATAAGGCAGCTTCCCACTCTTACCTCTTGCCCTTATTTTTACACTTTTTCCCCAAAATACTCCAATTATTTTTATTTTGCATTCTTCATTCATTCATTTATTCATCCAGTCAACATAAACCTACTACTCACCAAGAACTGCCCTGGGCTTAGTGGGAGTAGGGGGGTGGTTCTTTAGTGATATCTTTATTTATGTATTTGTTGATGAACATTTAAATTGTTTCCATATCTTGGTTATTGTAAATAGCACTGCTATGAGCACAGGGGTACAGGCACCTTTTTGAATTAGTTCTATCTGATGTATGCCTACAAGTGGGGTTGTTGAATCATATGGCAACTCTATTTTTAGTTTTTTGTTTTTTTTTTAGGAACCTCCATACTGTAGTCCATAATGGTTGCACCAATTTATATTCCCACCAACAGTGTAGGAGGGGTCCCTTTCTCTATGGTCTCCAGTATTGGTTATTCGTAGACATTTGAATGATGGCCATATTGACCTATGAAGTAGTACCTCTCTGTAGTTTCGATTTGCATTTTTCTAATAATGAGCAATATTGAGCATCTTTTCCCTACTGGCCATCTGGGTGGACATTGTATGATTTCATCCATGGCTATTAAAGTATTTCTCTAAAACACAAAAAGGCTATTTAAAAAGATAACTTCTGGGAATTCCCTGGTGGTCCATTGGTTAAGACTTTGAGCTCTCACTGCCGAATGACCTGGGTTCAATCCCTAGTCGGGGGAACTAAGATCCCACAAAGCATGTGGTGTGGCCAAATAAATAAATAGGTAACTTCCACTTCATCCTCATTCCTGAGAAATGGTCCCACTAACGTGGAAAGGGTTTAAGCAAAGCGTGCTCCTTGCTCTGGGTCTCTCTGTTCTGCTTTTTCTGGCTTCTGTCCTTTGCTGTCTCCTCTCCTGGTCTGTCGGATATTTTCTCTCCCTCCGCCTCTCTGTGCTCAGCGGGTTAATGTCTTCCCTGTTCACTGTATTTTTCTGTCTGTATCCCTGTGTATCAGCCTCTGTCTCTCCCTGGCTGGGTGAACTGTCTCTCTGAACCCTGGCCTCCCGCCCTACCTGTCCCTGCAGCTCTTTGAAGGCATGAAGGCATTCAAAGGCGGGGACCAGCGCGTGCGCCTCTTCCGACCTTGGCTCAACATGGAACGGATGCTGCGCTCGGCCCTCCGCCTCTGCCTGCCGGTGAGGGGCCCCGGCTCCCCGAGGAGGGTGGGGCAGCGGGGCATGGGTGGGGGCCAGGGTCGCGAGGGCCCCCTGACTCATCTTCATCCCCCCCAGGGTTTCGACAAAATTGAGTTACTGGAGTGCATCCGCCGGCTGGTGGAAGTGGACCAGGACTGGGTCCCCGGCAGCGTGGGCACTAGCCTCTACGTGCGGCCCGTGTTGATCGGGAACGAGGTGGGCCGGCTCTGGGGGGCTGGGGAGCCACACTTGGGGGGCGGGTTGCCTTCCTGAAGGAGAAGGGCCGGGGACCCAGGCATGGGTCAGGGAAGGGGCTGGGGGCCTGGATTCCTGGGTCCCTGATGCCCCCTTCTGCCCATCGCAGCCCTCACTAGGTGTCGGCTACCCCACTCAAGCCCTCCTGTTCGTCATTCTCAGCCCGGTGGGCACCTACTTCTCTGGAGATTCCTTGAAACCTGTCTCCCTCCTGGCAGATCCATCATTCATCCGGGCCTGGGTGGGCGGGGTCGGCAACTGCAAGGTGGGAGGGTAAGTAGTGCCTTGCCCACCCCCCGGGTCTGGTGCAAGGGGCATCAGAGACACAGGGTGTGTCTTTGGGTGTCCAGTGGAGAAACTCAGATTGGCCCCCAGGGAAGTCTCTAGAAATGAATTCACACTTAGCTCACTGGCCTCTCCTCCAGGTAGCCTCCCCTGAAAACCCAACCTCCATCAGCTCCTGTCATGCCCAGGGGCTCTGGCGTCCACCAGCCTGCCTGTGGACTTCCTGTGGGTTTATCTGTCTTGCCACGGGCCTCGGCTCAGCAGGGCATGGAGGGCTAGGATGCGGATAAGGCAGAGGGCGGGCGTAGGGTGTGTTGGGACAGCAGGTGTGGCCCCAGCCGGGAGTTCATTCAGGTCCTTTCAAAACATATCTCGTGAGGTTTCCTGAGGGCCAACGTGAACTTCTCGATGTTCAAGCTGGTTTTAGAAAAGGCAGAACCAGAGATCAAATTGCCAACATCCCCTGAATCATCGAAAAAGCAAGAGAGTTCCAGAAAAACATCTATTTCTGCTTTATTGACTATGCCAAAGCCTTTGACTCTGTGGATCACAATAAACTGTGGAGAATTCTGAAAGAGATGGGAATACCAGACCACGTGACCTGCCTCTTGAGAAATCTGTATGCAGGTCAGGAAGCAACAGTTAGAACTGGACATGGAACAACAGGCTGGTTCCAAATAGGAAAAGGAGCATGTCAAGGCTGTATATTGTCACCCTGCTTATTTAACTTATATGCATCATGAGAAACGCTGGGCTGCAGGAAGCACAAGCTAGAATCAAGATTGCTGGGAGAAATATCAGTAACTTCAGATATGCAGATGACACCACCCTTATGGCAGAAAGCAAACTAAAGAGCCTCTTGATGAAAGTGAAAGAGGAGAGTGAAAAAGTTGGCTTAAAGCTCAACATTCAGAAAACTAAGATCATGGCATCCAGTCCCATCACTTCATGGCAAATAGATGGGGGAACAGTGGTGGACTTTATTTTCTTGGGCTCCAAAATCACTGCAGATGGTGATCGCAGCCATGAAATTAAAAGATGCTTACTCCTTGGCAGGAAAGTTATGACCAGCCTAGAGAGCATATTAAAAAGCAGAGACATTACTTTGCCAACAAAGGTCCGTCTAGTCAAGGCTATGGTTTTTCCAGTAGTCATTTATGGATGTGAGAGTTGGACTATAAAGAAAGCTGAGTGCCAAAGAATTGATGCTTTTGAACTGTGGTGTTGGAGAAGACTCTTGAGAGTCCGTTGGACTGCAAGGAGATCCAAGCAGTCCATCCTAAAGGAGATGAGTCCTGGGTGTTCATTGGAAGGACTGATGTTGAAGCTGAAACTTCAATTCTTTGGCCACCTGATGTGAAAAGCTGACTTATTTGAAAAGATCCTGATGCTGGGAAAGATTGAAGGTGGGAGAGGAAGGGGACGGCAGAGGATGAGATGGTTAGATGGTATCACCAACTCAATGGACATGAGTTTGAGTAAATTCCGGGAGTTGGTGATGGATAGGGAGGCCTGGCGTGGTGCAGTCCACGGGGTCACAAAGAGTCGGAAACAACTGAGCAACTGAACTGAACTGAACTGAACCCCTGTGCTGGGTGAAGCTGGGGACACAGATGAGTCTGATCTGGGTCCTGCCCTCCAGGGGCTCCCAGGCTGATGGGAGCCCCAGTATCCAGTATCCATGCTCTGATGGAGATGACCGGAACACGGGAAAGTCTTCACAGAGGAGGTCCGATGGGTAGGGCGGAGATGGTTTCCTGGATACAAAAGTGGTGTGTGTGTGAGTTGCTTAGTCGTGTCTGACTCTTCACGATCCCATGGACTGTGGCTCACCAGGCTCCTCCATCCATGGAATTCTCTAGGCAAGAACACTGGTGTGGGTCAATTTCAAATCCTGGGAACACACTAGTGGAGGCAGTAGGGAGGGGCAGAGTCACCGAAGTCAGAGAAGAAAAATAAGTCTGGCTTTTGCAAAAGGCTTAACAGGTAGTCCCAGACCAGGCCCAGCCCTGAACACTGGACTAAAGGGCTGGGATCTTGTCCCAGAGGCAGTGGGGAGCCCTGGAAGGCTTGTGAGCAGATGAGGTGCGAGGTCAGCTCTGGGTGAGAGACAGTGAGTGTTAAATCAGGGCAAAATGGGACAGCATCGAGGTGGCCAGTTGATCGTGAGAGCCCAGAGGAGGCTTGAAACCCAGCCTGGAGCTTCAGTAAGCCTCTCAGAGGAGGTGACATCACAGGTGGTTTTGAAGGACCTCAGAGCTGTTTGTGAGTGGGGCGGGAGCAGGATGATCGCTGGTCTGGAAAGACTCACATCAGGCCACGTTGGGGGAAGGCTGGGGGTCCCATGACCTGGTCCACCATGTTGCTGTCCTCCAGGAATTACGGGCCCACCGTGTTAGTACAGCAGGAGGCACAAAAGAAGGGCTGCGAGCAGGTCCTCTGGCTGTACGGGCCTGATCACGAGCTCACCGAGGTGGGCACCATGAACATCTTCATCTTCTGGACCTATGAGGACGGGGGTGAGCCCACCCATGACCAACCCCGGGCCGGGAGGAAGTGGGTGGGAGCAGAAATTCTTAGTGGCTGCAGGTCTTGGGGCTTGGCTGTGAGTGGGGAGGCTCCTAAGAGGATGGGATGGTGTGAGGTAACACGCCCCCTCCCCCTTCTCTTCCACCTTACCCAGTGCTGGAACTGGTGACCCCCCCACTGGACGGCATCATCCTACCTGGAGTAGTCCGACAGAGTCTGCTGGACCTGGCCCGGACCTGGGTGAGGGCATGCTGTCTTCGGGTGGCCAGAGTGATGGGGTACTGCTGTGTTGCAGGGCTGGAGTACTGAGGGGAGGGTGGAGGGGACTGGGGCACAGTGGCACGTCTCTGTCTTTTTCACCATCCGCACGGAGGGAGCGGCAGGGGAGCACCCCGGGCTCAGAGGTTATTTGTGTCTCGCCCCGCAGGGTGAGTTCCGAGTGGTAGAGCGTAAGATCACTATGAAGGAGTTCCTGCGGGCGCTGGAGGATGGCCGGGTCCAAGAAGTCTTCGGTTCAGGCACCGCTTGCCAGATCTGCCCCGTGCACCAAATCCTGTACCAAGGCAAGGTGAGGAAGGGCCGGCTTGGGCCGTCAGGGAGAAGGTGGTGGGGGCCCGTCCTTACCACCCTTTCTTCCCCAGCATTTCCACATTCCCACTATGGAAAACGGGCCCCAGCTTATCCTCCGCTTCTACAAGGAACTGAAGGCGATCCAGGTGAGGTGCACCAGCTGGGACCTGGGCTGGATGCTCGGTTGCCCAAGAGAAGTTCCCGTCGCACGAGCCTCTGAACTGAGGCTTCCCCTCCCCCAACCCCCACCATAGTCCCACCAGCTGAAAACAGCTCCTTCCATCGGCCTCTGGGCCTCCGATTGAGTTTGCGTTCCTCGAGGCCCTGTGGCCTAGAACACTTCTTGGGACTAAATGGGGCTTCTCTGTGAGCCTCGGGAGCCTTGGCTTGAGAAATTCCCTTCCCATGAGCCTCCGGGACCTGAAGCCAACATTCTGGTCACTGAGTTCCGAGTCCCAGGGATCCCCAGGAGCTGGCTTGAGAAATCTTGCTCCTACCAGCCTCTGGACTCTGCCCCGACTCTGTGACCTAAGAACGTATCCTATCATAAGCCTCTGGAGGTACTTTCATTCGTCTGAACCGAGCTATCTTGCCTTTCCTGGTACTGGAACTGGAGCTCCTTTTCTGTAAGCTTCTGTAAATTCCTGAGTATCTGGACCGAGAACTATATCTCCTGCCTATCCAAGGTTTTCTCAGCTGAAGAACTCCCCGCCCCCCCCCCCCCCCCCCACGAGCCTTCAGAGCCTTACAAGAACTCCTCTTTGCAGAACTACAACTCCTTTGGGCCTCTGCGCCATCTTTGCCATGATTCCTCCTCCCCATGGTTGTCGGTGGGCTTCCGGGAAGCGGACTACATTTCCCATGAGGCCCTGGGGCGTAACCTTGCCGGCACTCAGGCTAGGATGCCCCAGGGCCTGCTGGGAGTTGTAGTTTGGTTTCCTCTCACCTCCGCCTGTGTTATCCCATAGTACGGATCAAAAGCCCATGAATGGATGCTCCCGGTGTAATGCTCTGGGCTACGCTGGACCACTCCACGGACCACTGACTTGTAGCATCCAGCCCCTGTTGGACCTTCACATCCGTACCAATGACTCACCTGAAGTGCAATATGAAGTAAAAGACGGGGGAGCCGGGATGCCTGGGTCTCCGGTGTTCCCACGTTATACTCCCAAAGCCATAAGGGCCTGACCCAGGCGTCTTGGCCCCTAGCCCCGCCACTCAGGCCTTGGGGACACGTACTCCCCACTGCTCCGTGTTGTGGGTCAGTGATACACCTTGACCCCAAATCTGCATCTCCGTTTTCAGGCCGGATCTCCCAGTGCTGCAGTTGATTTTTTTTTTTTTCCCTAGCTGCGATTTTGAAATAAAATGCCAAAGAACAAGACATTAAGTTTCATCTTCAATGAAGCAATTCAGCGGCTCTAGCGTCTTAACCAGGAACCCACATGTTCAACCCATTTCATTTTCAAGGGCCCAGCAATCCAAACCCTCAAAGTCCTGGTGGTTTCTCAGATGGGGAGATTTTTCCACTTGTCACAAATTGAGCTTAGCATCTTCCCTTGCTAAGCCGTGCCTCCCCCACCTCCCCATCTTGCAGGACAGCCCCACTGTACACTTCAGTCACTCTGCCAGACCCCTCTGCACTGTACCCTTCCCCCCAAAGCCCCCGAGTCCCCAGCCCTGTCCTCTTTCCCCAGACTCTGTCTTTTTGGCTTCAGCTCAGATCTTGTCTCCTGCCTGGATCCTTGTCCTGGCCTCCAGTTTGACCTGGAAAGGGTCCTTCTGTACTCCAAGCTGTCCCTGCAAGGCCAGGCATAACAGACTACAGGTCTGGATTCTGGGTTCTAGCCTTCTTCTGTTATTTTATCAGTGTGTAACCTGGGGTGTGCCACCTGAGCTCTGATCCTGGGGGAGACCCTGTGGGACTATTGGGTAGACTCTGTTTGTGGCCTGTCCAGCAGCCATCAGCCTTGGCACCAGGATTCTGATCTGTTGAGATAACAGGCAACCATTCTCTTGACACCCCCCTCATTCTCTTTTTCAATGGTTGTTCAAGGGAAGGCCATGGGCCAAGGGGATACAAGAGGAAATTTGCCTGGAGGCCTCTGGGAAAGCTGTCCTTCCTAAATTAAACACTCCAGAAGGGCTATGTCTGTTTTTCTTTCCTCTTATGTTCTGGCTTAGTTACAAGTGTGATGCTTGGAGCTGCTGCAGCCATTTCATGGCCAAGAGTGCCAGGCCTACTCTGAATATAACAGAGCATAAAGAAAGATCCTGGCTCCTCCAACTGGGAAGCCTCTGATTTCTGGATTGTTTTGTTAAAAAAAAAAAAAAAGTCAGAACAAAAAGCCATTTAAGTCACTTGTCAGATGGTTTATCTTTTGTTATTTGCAATTGTATTATGTGTGTGTGTGAGCGAGAGAGGGAGAGAGGGAGAGAGACTTACAGTCAAAAACTTCTTTGCTTCCCTGGATATTCTGTTGGCCAGAGCTGTGCACATCAGAAAGAACTGCTGATTCCCAATGAAGACCTAGGCCAGATTTTTTATCTTAGATTTGAATCCTAAGGGAATGATCAGGAAAGGGTAAGTAGCTATTGCCTTTAAAAAAAAAAAACCCCAAAAAACTCAGAATTATGTTTTCTTTGGTGGACAAAACTGAGGACTTAAGCCAAAGACATGGCATCTCAGATAATGAGAGATGCTCCAAAGAAGCAAAGAGTGGGGGAGCCAGGGTATATAGGAGTTTTTGCAATGCCAACTAGGTAGTCAAAACATCAAGAGATTACTGTGAAATATGGTGGTCCAGTGGCTAAGACTGTGCTCTCAATGCAGGGGCCCTGGGTTCCATCCCTGATCAGGGAACTAGATCCTGCATGCCACAATGAAGATTAAAAATCCTGTGTGCCACAACTAAGACCCAGCACAGTCAAATAAATAAGTAAAAATAAATTTTAAAAAACAGATTGTATGGGTGCTTAGTCATGTCCAACTCTTTGTGACCCCATAGACTGTAGCCCACCAGGCTCCTCCATCCATGGGATTTCCCAGGCAAGAATACTGGAGTGGGTTGCCACTTCCTTCTCCAGGGGAACTTCCTGACCCAGGGATCGAACCTGAGTCTCCTGCTCTCCTGCATTGGCAGGCAGATTCTTTCCTACTGAGCCGACCCACCTGGGAAGCCAAAAACAGAGATGACTGTCAATTAAAGAAAACCAAATACCTCAAGTTAAGGAATTTAGTCCTTGTCTGTGTATGGGAAGATGTAAGAGTCTGCTCCTTGAAATCATTCCTTTGCTATGCTCCTTCGCTGTCTAGGATGAGTGTCTTGTTCTTTTCTACCTTTGGTCTCTGGGTGCATCGTTGGGGAGAAGGGTGGCTGCAGCAGCTGACTGCCTGATGGCAGGCATTCTGTTTCTACCCTGAGTTCCCTCAGGGCTCACTGTCAGGGGGACTGTGATGTGATGACCTGGAGGCTGCCACATCCTTTGTTATCGAGGTGGCAGGCAACATTTACGGGGCTTCCCAGGTGGTGCTAGTGGTAAAGAACCCACCTGCCAATACAGGAGACATAAGAGACCTGGGTTCAATCCCTGGGTCAGGAAGATCGCCTGGAGGAGGGTATGGCCACTCCAGTGTTCTTGCCTGGAGAATCCCATGGACAAAGGAGCCTGGCGGGCTACAGCCCAGGAGTCACAGTGAGTCGGACATGACTGAGCGATAGCATGCATGCACATGTTTTGTTAATCTTCTTTAGCCATTATTAGGAGACAAGGCAGAAGCCCACTCAATTTTTTTTTTTTTTGGACACACTGGGTGGCATGCAAGATCTTAGTTCTCTGACCATGGAACAAACCTGTGCCCCTTGCAGTGGAAGGGCAGAGTCTTAACCACTGGACCACAACTGTGTGTGTGTGTGTGTGTGTGTGTGTGCGCGCACTCCGTTGTGTCTGACTCTTTTGCTACCTCATGGACTGTAGTCCACCAAGTTCCTCTGTCCATAGGACTTCCCAGGCAAGAATACTGGAGTGGATTGCCATTTCCTTCTCCAGGGGATCTTCCCGACCCAGGGATCGAACCTGTGTCTCTTGCATCTCCTGCATCAGCAGGTGGGTCCTTTACCACTAGTGCCACCTGGGACGCTCCTCAACTCACTTTTTGAAACTCACTTGAGGCAGTAGCATCTGAGACTAAACAGAGACATATGTTTGACACGCCATAGGCTAAGGATTGTTATCTTTAAATGAATGAATATTTTGTTCGCTTTCTGTCATAATGTCATATCTATAAATATTATTAGGTGTAACGCATATGAACTAAAACTCTTAAAGTTTCTCAGTGATTTTTAAAGTGTAAAGTGGTCTTAAGACCAAAAAGTTTGAGAAAGGCTATCCACGGACAATGCCTGACTCTCAGCAAGCTGATGTGACCATTGGTTAAATAGCAAAATAAACAACAAATCTGATCTGGTTACAGTTTATCACAGAAAGGAACTTTGTTTCTTGTTTTGCATTCATAGACATTTTCAGAGTCTTTTCTGTCTGAGACGTTCTGTAGGAAGATTCCAGTAGGCTTACTTGGCATTATTACTTCATTTGATCACTTTTCACAGTGATTAAGACACTCAGGGTGCAAATGAGAATTATTAGGGCACACACATCCACATTTCAGATACCCTTCATACTTTGCCTAATTAAAGATCAACTTTTTAAAAGTTCTCTAATAGCTGTGTGATGGGCTTCCCGGGTGGCTCAGTGATAAAGAGTCTGCCTGCCAAACATGAGACTTGGATTTGATTCCTGCATTGTGAAGATCACCTGGAGTAGGAAATAGCAACCAAACTTCAAAATTCCGGCCTGGAGAATTCCACAGACAGGAGCCTGGTGGGCTACAGTCCATGGCGTCACAAAAGAATTGTCAGATATGACTTAGGGACTAAACAGCTACAACACCAAAGCTGTGTGATGTTGGGGAAGTGAGTGCACCTCTCTGAGCCTCAGTTTTCTCATTTCAAAAATGAAGATCACAGTACCTACCTATTAAGGCCATGTCGGTGTTGTTTAGTCACTAAGTCATGTCTGGCTGTTTTGAGATCCAATTGACTGTAGCCCGCCAGGCTCCTCTTCTTTGGAAAAGACCCTGATGCTGGGAAAGATTGAGGGCAGAAGGAGAAGAGGATCACAGAGGATAAGATGGTTGGATGGCATCACTGATGCAAAGGACAAGAACTTGGGCAAATCCTGGAGATGGTAAGGGTCAGGGAAGCCTGGATGCCACAGTCCGTGGGGTCACAGAATGGGACACGACTTGGTGACTGACCAACAACATAAACAATGTTTAGGGGACTGTAGATCTTAATGGCTTAAAAAATTGTGTGTGTGTGGTTTTTTTTTTTTCAAAATAGTATGTCATCTTCATGCTTAAGGATGTTCTTCATTGGAAAATAATAAATATACACTAAGTGGAAAGAGCAAAATGGGAATTTTCATTTAGTTTATTCAGAATTCTGAAAAGTTCACCCAAACTCCTTGGATTAATATATAATAAAACCATTTTGAGCTTCCCTGGTGGTCCAGTGGTTAAGGCTCCATGCTTCCACTGCAGCCAATGCAGATTCCATCCCGGTTAGGGAGCTAAGATCCTACATGCTGCATGATGTGGCAAAAAAAAAAAACAAACGAAACCCCTTTTGTAAGTTCAATTGTCTGCAGTTGTAAATACCTGTTTCACTAATCATGTTCAATAATCATACTTTTGTATACAAATATTTTCATTGGTTTCTAAAAAACAAACAATAAGTTAAAAAAAATCAGATTTAGTCTAACTGTGAATGCTAAACTAGTTCTAAGTGATGAAAAGATCAGAGAAACTTATAAACATCACTTATGTTCTATGTAGGAATATCCAGTAACATATAAAAATAGTGATATAAATAAATAAACAAGACAAAATAATGAAGAATAAGATTAAACTGAGGAAAAGAAAACCTGTATTGAAAGTAAATCTCAG